TAAAATTTAACCCCCCCCCCCCCCCCCCCCCCTTTCACAAAAAGCCGTAGTATAGCGTGAATGGCAATTCGGTTCTCGTTAATTCTTCAGCCTTACCCTGTCCATACTAATGGAATGTATTTATCGTCGCGAAGTCCCGACGGGCAATCATCTATTACCATAGGTCAAGGCCAAGTTCACCCACTGAGATACGATTGGCTCTGCCAAGCCGGCAGGCTCAACACTCAGGACAAGCAACAATGTGCTAGGGATGGAATTTACCAGTAGCGTCCACCTCTGTCATATTCGCGAGCATATCCATCACGCGGTGGGTACGCAGGTTCTCGAGGGGGGAAGTCCCTGGGAGGTCGATCATACTGACGACCGTTGGCATAGGGATCGGGTGGTGGGGGAGGATAGTCTCGACGGTATGGGTCCTCGTAGCGGCCTCGAGCCGGAGGATAGTCCTCAATAGGGGCAGGTCCTCGAGGAGGAGAGCGGTAACGGGCTCTGTCTTCGTAATACTCGCGTCGAGGACTTCGATCGCGATAACCATAAGGACCAGGGTCTCGGTTGTACCCACGAGGGGGAGGACCACGTCGATCGTATTCGTCAAATCGGGTAGGCATATTGTTGTAAGGTCGTCGGCCTCCAGGCGAACGTGAGCGACCGCGACCATCCCGAGGAGGCATATCTGGCTGGGTCTATAACGATAAGCGTCAGCAACAAGCCTTGGCTTATATATGAGGTACTTGAAAAGGGGGAGAGGGGGAAGGGGAGGGGTGACGAACGTCGGCAATACATTGGACTCGATTTCCCTTAAATTCTCGACCATCGAGCTTGTCTACAGCGGTTCGAAGGTCGGCAGCGGTCTCATACTCAACAAAGCTGGCAGATAAGTCAGTATGAGATCAGAATATGGAACCGATGGCTGGTTGGGACAACATACCCCCTGCCGTTAGAGTCTCGTCCCGTCTCGGAATATACCACGTCAAGGCCGGGTTGACGCGCAAAGTCTTTGAGGTCCTATATCCAGAAATCGCGTAAGTCCCTGTCCCCAGGAGCGACGGCATATTTGTGCGACAGCAAAGCAGCTCAAAGTCCACATAGCCGAAAGACCGAATCATACATCCCATTGTACAACAAACCAGACACCGCGAGCCAAGAGGGGGAACAGCCGGTAGCCAGGATGTGTCCCGAGGAGGATGGCGGGTTGTGGCAGTCCAAAATTACACAAGAAGCAAACAAGCCTCAAGGCGTTGAATCCCAGCCGACAAGAAGGTGCAAAAAGGATCCAAGCGACACAGGTGGGAAGGTATCCATAGGGTCCAGCGACAAAGAGCGGGGAGATGTAGACAGACCTGCCAACTGGTTTCGTTTGGAAGCCCGGTTATTTGCATCCGGTGAGGAGTTCGTCGGGGTCGCGGTGGAGCGCGCTCATGGCCACTGAAACCACTTTCCCTCTGTCGCGGTCCACGGGCAAACTGAACAGTGAGACGCTCTCCCATGAAGTCAGATCCATCTACATGGTCCCGTGTTAGCAAGACACAAGGCTAAGGCTGGGGAGGGAGCGTTTTGGATATTAGGCTGCCAGCGTGGGCGCGGCCCAAGCCAACGCGAGGGGGCAATCACATACGAAAGGCTGTAAAATAGACGACGGCGAAAACAAGGCCATTGAGTTAGCACAGTCGGGTTGAAAAAATAACGATAAGAATGATAGAAGTTGTTGTCCAGAGAGGCAAGGTACTATGGAGTCAAGGAAGAAGAAAAGAAGGCTCAACTAACCCGGAACGACGTCTCGGGCATCCATAGGATCCTTGTATTCAATGAAGCCGAAGCCATTCATCAGCTTGACCTCGGTGATGTCTCCGGTGCCATGAGTCGCAAAGTGAGCCTCGATGTCGGCCTTGGTAGCTGCCGGGAAAGCGAGTCAGTTGGAATCCAAAGGGGCGAAGAGAGTGAGAAGGTGATTATGGGTTATGGACCATTGCGAGGAAGGTTGCCCAGGTAGAGCCGCGTATTAGAGACCTCAGTCGTCATGATGGCGATGGGTGGAGAGCGGAGGGCGGAACGGCGGTACGTCGAGGATCACCGAATCCTAGAGGGTTTACGGGAACTTGGGTGAAGGCGTCGGTGAGGCCAGTGGATGGCGGTTGGGATGAGAAAGATGGATCCAAGGAAGAGGAGCAAGCACTGGAAAGTGTCGTGTTGGTCACGGCTGCGAACTTTGGCCTGGGAGAGGTCAAGAGACCGAGAGGTGCTCAAGTGAGGAGAAGAAGCCTTGTGGAAAGCAGCCTGCGTGTGCCGTGTGCGTGTGCGCGCGCGTGGGTGTGTGTGTGTGTGTGTTCAAGTGACCAGAACCTGTTTTTTTCCTTACCAGAATGCGACACTGAGGCTGAGGCCCAACATTGGACAGCTGAGTCGGGCGGTGGCAGCCGGCAAAAACGCATCATGGTGGAGGTGGTTCCGCTTTTCTCGTTGCTGACCAGTCCGTCCTCTCTCTCTCGGCCGGCGGCACTCATCGATTTGATGCCATCGATGAGCAGCATCATCTCAAGAGCGGTTTGTAACCATCAAATTGGCACAAATTAACACAAATTAAAACAAGCACAAAAAAAGCCATGTAAAAGTCTTCAATTACTATTAACATGTTTACCAACCAAGCCGCACCGACATCGCCAGCTATCGTTCCCCAACTCACCTACTCACCAAAGAAAACCCACTGTGCCTCTCCCAGACGCCACGCGACGCCACGCCGTGCTGGCTAAACATCACTCATTGAATTCAATCGGACCGCCGCCGGTTTCTATGTCATGACTCGTCTTATTAACCCCCCCCCCCCCCCCCCCCCCTCTTTCTGTATACTCCA